AATAAGCTCTTGAATGAGGGGGGCCTTATTTACCACGGACCTGGCGTTGCATAACATCAGCCGATGATCCCGGGCCCGAGGATCTGAAGTCCCTGGAAGCCGAGTAGAGCCCTGAGGATCGGAGCACCCGCAAGCTTGTAAGCAGCGTGTGCGTGCTCCCAAAACCCGATATGGTCCTCTGCTCCCGCCATATCTGCCCACCGGTAGATATGTTTCAGGAACAATTTAGTCAGTCATTGGGCAGATGGGAGTCCTTTGCAGGCGATGAAATGAGCCTGCTTCGAGAACAGGTCTATCACAGTCCAGATGACAGTATTTCCTCTACTTTCAGGTAGGTCTACTATAAAGTCCATAGCTATTTCTTCCCATGGTTGAGAAGGGTCTGCCACGGGTTGCAGTAACCCAGGGGTTTTCCCTGGGATTCTTTTCATTGTGGCACATACAGTACAACTCTTTACATAGTTTTCTACATCCCGTTTCAGCCCCAGCCACCAAAATTGCCAGCAGGTGAGATGTAGAGTTTTTAGATATCCAAAGTGTCCAGCTTGTTTTACATCGTGGCTGTGTTTGAGAGCATTAAGACGGAGGGCTTCAGGCAAATATAGTTTCCCCTCTTTGTAAGCCAAGCCATCCCTGCATGTTAGGGAGGATTGATTATCTTTGAACCATTGATCGGTGAGGAGCTCTTGTTTTATTTTCTTTACCCCAGGATCATCAGGATTAGGGACTCTGTGAGGCGTGAGTTGAGTGGCAGTTTGTGGACTGGAGATAATTGCCTCATTAACCTCTTCGCGTTCGCTTTTGTACTAGGGCAATCTCGATAGCACATCAGCTAGGAAGTTTTTTCCTCCCGGTATGTACTTTAGAGTGAAGTTGAAGCAGTTAAAGTACTGTGCCCACCGCACTTGCTTTGGGGACAATTTGCGGGGAGTTTTCAGTGCCTCTAGGTTTTTGTGATCTGTCCATACTTCAAAAGGCACCTTGCTCCCTTCTAGATAGTGTCGCCAGTTTAATAGCCCCCACCTAAACGCGAAGTCCTCTTTCTCCCAGATTGCCCATCTCTGCTCGCTTTCAGTAAATTTTTTAGAGGTGTAGGCGCAGGGTTGTAGAACTCCACTTTTGTTCTTCTGCAGTAATACAGCTCCAACTGCCACATCGCTGGCGTCGGCTTGAATTACAAAGAGCTCCCCTCGGCAGGGGTGCTTTAGGACCGGTTCAGCAGCAAATAGTCTCTTTAAATTCTCAAAAGCTGTTTGACAGCCCATCGTCCATGCTAGTGGTTGGCCCGGTCGCAGTTTTCCTCCTCTTTTGCCTGTTTTGAGTAATTCTGTAAGGGGTAGGGCAATCTTGGCAAAAGAGGGGATGAATTGACGATAGAAGTTGGCAAAACCTAAAAAGCTCTGAAGGTGTTTGCAAGTCTTTGGGGACT